CCACGGTGGTATACTGTGATAATGTGAGTGCAATTTACATGTCGTCTAACCCCGTTCATCATCGGCGAACCAAGCACATTGAGATCGATATTCACTTTGTGCGGGAGAAGGTCTCCATTGGTCAAGTGCGCGTCCTTCACGTACCCACGGGACTTCAGTTCGCCGACATCATGACGAAGGGCTTGCCAACACAGATGTTTCTTGACTTCCGGTCCAGTCTGTGCGTCCGGGCACCTCCCGTTTCGACTGCGGGGGGGTGTTAGCGTATAGGATTTGTTTCCTAATCTCGTACATATCTTAACAGCTGTAACCCGATCATGCGATCGTTGTAATCTCTGATTGACTCCATTGAGTCTTTATATAAACGGAACCCCCGGCTCCAAGCTGTGCGAGGCTTCCCCCAAACCACGTCTACGTTTCTACACGCTCTACTACAGTAGTCTGAATTTTGTGCTACGCTGCAGAGGTGAGAGGACCCTGATCCATCAACAATGAGTCTGTTGCAATAACTCTGCTCGCCGTCTCACTCACAGCAAAGAGGATCCAGAGGCAGCACACGAGGATGTTGCTTGCTTTCTGTCGAAAGCGCAGCGGGAATCTTGCACAAAAGCTCATAAGGATTTATTGGTTCCGCAAGACGATCGAACTCGTATGCAGTGAATTCGGTGGACCATGGCCCGTTAAAGGAAGCAGTAGCCAAGAGCGTCTTCAATAGTAGAGTTAGCTAAGAGGCAGCTGCTAGCTCTTATAAATATTTGAAGAGGAATGGGGTCTATGTTTAAGTCTTATATTTTTTTTAGAGGCTGCCTTTTGAGGAAGAGTTAGCTATTTTCTCTCTCTTCTTTTTCTTCATTAAACAATTCTAAAAATTAGCTAAAAAGCAATTATTAGGGACGCTCTAAATGAATCCGGAATGCAGCACAAACAAAAATGAACTCGTTGCAGTAAATGAAGCGAAGTGTTCTGCTGGTATGAACTTGGGTCAGAAATGATTTCACTTTCTTACATCAGTAAAAAAAAAAGGCCCGTATGCTGTTTTGTCCGATTATGGGTACAAATGCAGTTAGTTTGCAGGTGGGAAATGATAGAATCGGGCTATTTACCAAATAAGCTGCAAGTTGGGGATCAACAATGTTTTGAACTTGCCTAACCATCGAAGTATATATTCCCCGTGTTTTAAATCTATGACTCTTAAGACAACAAAACTAGTTAAATTTGAACTAGATTAGCTCTCATAAACATCATATATTTAAGAACAGAGGTAGTCCTTATTTTAGATATTGGAATTCATACTTCAAAAATAATCAAGTCAATTTCAGGTTTGTAGACCTAGCAAACACTTCTAGCAAGTACTCCTTCCAGATTTGTTGTTGATACCGAGTAGCTAGGGCCAAATATGTAAAACACTTCTATACGTAGTACACAAACAAATTACCACCGGTAGATGCGTATTCTCATTTTTACTCCTGAGGAAACGAGTTGGGTGATGAAAATGGTGACCGCCGCTCACATCATTTTTATAAGTACATTAGTATCGTACAGCGACTTTTCTGACAAGCCAGCGTAGTTGGCAGTAAAATTGCAACTGTAGGACCAAGAACAGTACTTTCTTTTATTCTCCACGTACGGTGGGTGCATGGGTTAAAACCATTCTGCCGAATACATTGCACTATGACTTTTTACAAATGTATTTTTTAAAAAAAATAATTTTGAGGATTGCATGCCAATCTCTTTTTTGTTAGGGAAACTATGGTGAGTGTTATCCCCCTGAAGTCACTCATTTGAATTAAATGAAATAATGGTGTTTACAACGATCGTTGCCCAGAGCCGATTGAAAAGCGGAAAACAAAGGTTATGAGAAGAAAAAACTAGAGAAATATGTCAACAATCTAGATAAAGCAAAAGATCTAGAGTTTCAAACTATCCATGTAGAGACACTGAGTCCACGTAGCCCAATCAAGAGCATGTCAGGTTCCTAGCTAGATGATTTGGGCAGGTTCACTGCATCTTAAAATGGAACTATACACTCCTAGCAAAAAGAACATTGCACCACTCGATCCCGTCCTTGCTGACCAGCACAGCAGAAATCCACTGCATGCTCGTCAGCAAAACCCTGTGTGTCCAAGAATCGATCGCAGAACTCTTTAATCACGATCGATGGAGTGAGTTCATTCAGGGAAGAAGAAGAACTGAGGGCAGCGGAGAGTGTTGGCTTACGAAGACGCGGGAGGTGGCGACGTCGAGCCCGGAGCCGGCGGAGGCGAAGCAGACGCCGATGGCGAAGTCCCGGATGCCGTAGCTCGGGTCGAGGTAGGCCGGCACGAAGGCGCGTCCCAGCCCCAGCGCCTCGGAGTAGAAGTCGGTGGCGACGCGGCCGTTGCAGAACCGGCCCGTGGCGCGGCGGCCCGGGAAGTCGCGGCCGTAGGGCGGGAAGTTGCTCCGCACCACCGTCGCCACGGCGTTGTTGTTGCCGGCGTCCACCGTCGAGTCGCCGAACACGATCAGCGCCGTCGCGCGCGCTCCGGCCGCCGGCGAGAAGCACAGCGCCGCGAGCAGCAGCAACAACAACGCGGGCAGGGACGAAGAAGAGCGCGCGCGCCACGCAGCGGCGGCCTCCATGATGCGCGAGGTGTGTGTCTCCGTCCGTGTCGCCCGTGGCCAACAGCGTACGTGAGAAGGCGAATCAAATGGCGCGCGGGAGCTTTTTATCAAGCGGAGCGCCGCAGCGACGCGAAAAGCGGCTGCGTGCGGTGCGGGGGCAGTTAAAGCGGGAGGCGTTGTTGCATGAGACCTCCTGCGGTGGTTAGGTGTGGCGCTGCCTACCGGAGCACTCATGCTGTGTTCTCGTTTAGCAATGCTGACTTTTCATAGGCGTGGCATGATACACAGCTAGTACTTTTGACCGCTGTAAACATGCATGTCGATGAAACTCATAGGATGCTAATGTCAATTTCGTTAGTAACAACACTACAATTGTATGCCACCCTCACAACAACTAGATAATATGTGAATTTCGTTCCTTTAGCTGGCAGCACAATACTACAACAATTGTATGTACTATATGAAGTGCTATCCGTCACTTTAAATTTTGTGCACTCTAGCATCCCTATGTGGATTTGGAGATTATGACTACCTAGCGATATTTTTCCAGATTCCCCGACCCAAGTTCTAGTTACAAATGCCCATTTCTTTAGTAGTTTGGATCCGACCCACACCTGTTTTTGTAGGGATTTCTGTATACAGGCCAATGATTTGTCATTCTCGTATAACAAATGGTTTTGCAAGACATCACACAATGTAATACTTTGTATGCTGGGGAACGCCTTGGCGAATGTCCTGTTCAATTTGTGGACCAAGCAAGCATGCGGTGACACCGCGCGGTCCTTAATGAAAAGGTGAAATAGTACATCAACACTAGCTGTGCCTGTGCACCAATCATGCACTCGCGACTTAGCAAAGGGCCTCCAACTAGTGATACAGCCCATCCGTTCGTAACAATGCATCGTTCCGTCGTCCAAATCAAGATACTATTCCAGGCGAGTCAACAGACCCAAATGCTCCGGCTCCGGCACTATTTAGATACTGTGCATGAACTTGCTAGGTCCATGACAAGAGGACTAACAAATGCAGGAATCAACCAAGAAAAGAGTACTGCTGTTATGCATCCGACTCATCTGTACGACCACATTGTAAAAAGGTGTTTTGGAGTCGATATTTCCTTGGAATTACAACTATCATGTTACAGATACTATCATAAAGAGAAACAAGAGATAAAAGCACCAGGTTATTTATTCAACCTGACCATTTCCTCGCAATACAAACTGCCCATGGCGAACGTTGCCAACAAACAGTAGAGTGCTGTGGCGGTTCAAGTTTCAAAGATTTGTGGGGCTGCAAAAATCTCAGATCCACATACAAAGCTAACGCATACCACGGTTTATGTAGATAACATGATACAGACGAAGACCCGAAGGATCCTAACCGAAACTACACATATGGTTTATATTACACAGCAGGTCACATTGGTTGGTCATATATCCCTAGCAGAACAGTCAGTCATATGTCCATGTCAATTAAGGCATCTTCCTCTTCGCCATCAGATGGAGCGCCAATTAGGAAGTCATCTCCTGACAATTTGCTGTGGGAAAAATAAAAAAGCATCAGTAATTCATTTTGTTTCATAAGAACAATGCGGGTTGGTGCAAACCTACCTAGTACAATAACATCGAAAGCTCACTACTCGCTTTAGCTTCCTATTGTAGAAGAAGTAGTTGAATGACCATCTGCAAGAAGGAATTGAATATCCACATAAGATTGTCCTTTTAACTGGTTAAATATACCATCTAGTTTGTATCAGTTAAGATGAACATACATGGCCCCTTTCTCTAGGACTGGATCTCCATCGGAGTCTGGATTATAGCTGTAGATGTCACACTCTCTGATTTTGATAACCTACAACATAAGGTGTAAACACACAACCACATGAAAACCAAATATTTAAGTGAATGTTTACCTCATCAATAGCTTTAGTCATGCTGTCCAGAAGAGAAGTGCCGTCATTTGTTGTTGCCCATTGCTGAACAGAAGTCCAATTTGGTTTAGGCACATCAGGTTAGTGAAACAGCAAAATGGCAACCTCAGTACCATTTAAGAAATAGATGTGGCAACATGCCTAGTTCAGTGATTTTTCCCTTTTCAATTTCCAGTTACTAAACGAGTCCATTTCTATTCAATGAATGCATACATTACGCATGACTAACACAAAAGAGAACCAGAAAGTATTACCCTAGAAGCGTCAGATAAGTAGGTGTCTATCATCAGCTTGAAACTCTCCCACTCCTCTTCTCTGAAGAACAGGTGTGCTTGAACAGCACTGCTCAGGGAACAAATGTTGATAAAGTGATGTTAAATTTAATCTGAAGGTCGGCCCATCATGAATCAATGGCATGACAAGCAGGAGACCTTAAGAAAGTTGATCCATCAAATACCAAATTGGCCAAGGGAAATGGAGAGAATTGAACTCTCAGCTCAAAGAGCAACGGTTATTAATCCGTCTGTCATACCATCTGACAACACCCCCTTAGGCTGGTCGGAAAGGACAAAAGCGGGTTGCCATATCGCCCAAGAAAAGCTGACTATGACATTACCCATATATCCTTCCTCCCAGATCATACTAGAACACACTACTTTTGAAGAAAAAAAAGTTTACCTGAAATCATAATCTGGATACATATGGCCAAGAGTAAGAACTAGATATATCAAAGTTTTCCGGCTGGATAAACACACAAAAAAAAAAGGGGAAAAAGTTAGACCTTGCAAAACGAAATTGTGCACAAGCACAATAAAGGTAGTCTTCATGTCCTTACCTCGATCTGGATGACAAGTGTTCCACTGGTGAAGATGGATCACTATCAGAAGACTTGCCAAGGTAATCAAGAATCTGAATTCACAGCAGAAACATTAGTTAGAGCATTATTAGAAAAATAACATGCATACACATACACTTCATACACGTAAGCTTTGGAAAAGGGATAACCTCTCAAGGTAACGATGTGTTCTCTGAAGTCTAAATGGTCCAATGTTTTCAGGAAATATATTGTACTAAACAAAAACTACATGGCGATAATGTATTAAGTATTAACTTCACCTAGTGACACTTAGAATTTATTTGATTCAGAATAAACATTGTCTGCCCCCTGATCCACAAACCAGAGAAACAAGGAGCATGCTCCCTGTCTTGCAAACAGGGATAAAACCAGAATAGAAGATAAAGCCAAGCACGGCAGTAAGGGCATAAGAACACAACTTGAAGAAGAGTGTCACTCAGTTGCAAAGTCGCGTATGAATCATTTTGTATATTTCATCTTCAAGTATGTAAGATAATCTATACAAAACTAATGCCTGGTAACACAGCAAATCAAATACGAGAGGATATATCACCTTCCAAAAATGGAGAAAAGGAAAACAAAGATACGTCTAAATAAAGTTAGCATAAAGAAAGAAAACAAGCCACTCCATTAGCACATGGTTCCTAACTTTGTATCACTTTTATTCTTTTAAACTGAAAACAAAAGGGGAGGGAATATACATGCCAAATAAAGGGCCACCCAACAAGGCTCCAAGGACTATCTAGGCATTGGAAAACTTTGTTTCACTTCATTATGATCCCAGTGAGAAGATTGAATGCCTAAACAAATCAACAGTAGCGCACATGTGTACTAATCCATGGTCTCACTGAAAGAAAAAATGACAGGTAATGTATTCATGGGTCAACTGAGCGTGTACCTCATGTTCAAGACTTATTGAAAGACGACGGTCCGTCCCAGTGTGCTTGCCTACAAATTAACAAAGCAGTTCAGCTCTCATTCTGATGAAGCAACAAGCCCAATGAGAGTCAGGGGAGCATAGTCTTACATGAGAAGGCTTCAAGGTTTCCCCGGATTGTGCAATCCCCAAGGTTGAGTTGCTCGAGGAACAAATTTATACTGCAAAAAATAAAAGGATTGACAAAACTACAGCATTAGTAAACTAGGGAAATATAATTGCATGCCACCAAGAGCAGATCAACAGCAACAGGTAGAATGCTTACCTGTCGAAGGGAGTGTATTCTAAAAACTTCATGCTGGATGCCTTGTAGACTCATAAAAGAGTCGCTCCGATCAGATGAAACGTGTGGAGTTGAAAACCCCACCTGTCAAATTAACATGTCCCAGAATCAAACAATCAAGCAATATAGATGAAAAGCAAGCAAAACAACATATTATAACAAAACTAGCACAGAATCAACAAATTCTACGGCAAGATTTGGATGAACCAATTTCCATCCCGTTCCACGAGGGGCAGGCGGACTCAACGCGGGACAAGGAGGGAATTTTGCGCCGGGGGTGGGGGGAATTGAAGTCACTACTCCGCGCAGCTAACAACATATCCGCAACGAATCGGGCGAATCAGAACATCCGTCCCCGAAAGAGAACGATCTGAAGGCGGGGAGCTCAAAGCCACAGCAAAGACGGGGGGAAGTTTCCGTACAAGGAACTGCAAATCGGTGAAGAAGTTAGGGTTTCCTTACCGAGAAAAAGGAGGACGAAATCAACCCGAGTCCGGACAGATCTTCCAGCCCACGCGAGGCAGGAGGGAGGGCGTTGCGGATGAGGACGACGAGAATACGCGTACGGAGGTAGAAGAGGGGAGGTGGGTAGCGGAGGAAGGGAATATGCGGGCTGGATCTGGATTGAGGCGTGGATGCCACGAGCAGCTGTGGTCATACGGGCTGATCGATAGCCGGACGATGCAGAATCGACGGTGTGGATCCGTGTAAAATTACATCCACGAGCAGCTGTGGTCATACGGGCTGATCGATAGCCGGACGATGCAGAGTCGACGGTGTGGATCCGTGTAAAATTACATCCAGTGTTTAGTTTTATCTGAACTAGTAAAAATACACGTGCGACACGCACGCGCGAATATTGTTCAACACGATATCACGGGCATGAAAGTATTTCGTTGTACAATGCAAGAAAGTAAAAGAACGGCTCCGATAGGGCTAATTTTTGAAAAATAATAAAAGAAGAGCAATGAAAAATATTGGTTCAATTAAAAAACATGTTCACTGAAATAAATCAATTCTATGAAAAGAGACAATAACGATCAAACATAGATAATATCCAAGCGTCAGAATTACAAATTATTATAAAAACAAACCCGTTTCCAAAGTATCTCATACATTGAGTTTCTCTGATAATACTTAATTATTACATAGTACCACACTACCCAAAGATTCACAGACTACTCATATCTAGATGAGCGCTCAAGATAATTCATTATTGATCAGCTCCATTCATTTTAGCAAAGAAAAACTATGGGATCCTCCACCCCCCCCCCCCCCCCCCCTCCTCTACAAGCCTCCGTAAGCCCCTCCTACTTAATTTTGACATAAACAAGGTTGAATCAATGGTGTTTGCAAGGAAAAAGAGAAAAAAAAGAAGGAGAAGAGAGGAAGAAGAAAGCTCAGCCCCCTTTATCATTTGGTCTGGCTCCGCCACTGCTGATGTTAGTGGTTGTTGTGGCCATAACGCATGACGCCCACAAAGATCCAGCTCTTGCAGTACACACAAGGTGCCCTTAAGAAGTCCGGTGCCCCAACATTTTTTGGCTCTTGCTAATAATTGAATCTTTCACTTCACCAAATACTAAAGGACCATGCTTTTGAGTAGAACATAAGCTTAGTGCTACCTTTACTCTTCTAGCATTGATATATTTGATAGATTACAAATACTACTCTCTCTGTCATTCTAATTTTACATATTTTTCTCAAATTACATGTCATTTTTACTTCTCAATGCACCTTTCCCTCTTCCTAATACAATATTTTTTTTTTCATTACACTTCTAACTCTATCTCTCTCCTCTTCGTTTTTAATGCACTTATTTTTTTCATTTCTCTTTAATTCTCGTATCCAGAACTAGAATGACATCTATTTTTTAAGAGAGTGAGTACAATACAAACCTTTTTTTTAAACCCCACTACAGTACAAGTAGTAACATGTAGGAATATTCAAGTTAAATAATGACGCGAACTGCGCAACCGAGCTGGAATTTGGTGAGTGTACGCAACGTAGGGGCTGTAGATAGTTGTGGGTCGTAGAATTTTTTTTTATCTTTTGCGGAATTGGGCTGGACCACATGGAGAAAATTTTATTCTTGTTGAGGATGATGGATAGTATCACAAAACCATGAATTTGGGTGGAACCGCTAGGAAGAATTTGAGGACCAAACATCATCCGCTTCGGCTGAGGCAGTGAAATTTTTACAAAATGGATTTTTTTGTAAAATTTTGTTATATATAGACCTTTAGGAAAACTTCTTTTTCTGAGCACTAAATATTTTGGCGTTCAAGTTGAATATGTGAGTGCCGCATAAACTATCATGTAGATTGGCGTGTAGAGGTTGGGCGCCCACCCCTGGCGCCAATTGAAGCGGCGCTCACATATTCAACTTGGACGTCAAACATGTGGAGTCAAGAAAAAAAGTCTATTTCTGAACATGTTTTTCTCAAAAATTTATATATGATAAACTTTTATAAAAAAGTTCATTTTATAAAAAATACACGCTGAGGCATGGCTGTGCCAGCGAGACAGCCCCTGGGAAGAATTTGAGAACCAAATATCCTCTGCTTCGGCCGAGCCATGGCTGTGGTCGCGAGACAGGTCATGTCGCAAGATCTTAACACTTGGACCGCGTGCTCCCACGTCTCTGTAGACATGGGCTGGCCCACCGTTGGCTGTGCGTAATCGCTTTAGGAACGTGCTCGATATAGCAGGCCCATATAAGCCATTCAGGTGTCGCACAAAATGAGCAGCTACTCAGAGTAGGAAACATCTTCATCATCAGAAGTTTAAAAAGAGAGCGTTTCAAAAAAAAAAAATGTTTAAAAAGAGAGTTCGGAAATGGAGAGCAGCACGTGTATCCGCCTCTCCTTGCTCTCCATGAAGCTGCAACAACAGACGAGGTGGAGCAGTGGCCGCTCATCGACGCCAGCACTGATAGCCGGCGGCTTGGCGTCGTCCAACCGCGTGCTGCTGCTCCGACGGTGCCGCCCCGTTCTTCTTCCTCGTGGAGCCAGCAGCTTTCGGCGTGTGCTGGTACCAGCGCTGCCACCGACACTGATAATAGTGACAACATAAATCTTTCCAATTTTGAACCATCTATTCCAGTCCTTTGGCTTGCTCCACTGAAAAGGTATGGTATGTTCTGACTGTCCCTATACGCGTAGCACGAATGGACGTAGGTTGTGTTCAAGTAGATATGATTGTTCTGCTGTTTATTTACAGGCAATACTTAAAGAACTTACTTGTACTCCTTCGTCAATAACACAATATAAATTTGCAGACCATAGACTTTTTTTTTTTTGAGGGCCAGACCACAGTGGATATATGTTTTGCTTGTTCTCAGCAGATAAGGATGATAGAACGAGCAGACCAACTGAAGAAAGAAGTGTCAAAAAAGATAGCATCTTCAAGTAACTGTACTCTGTATGAAAGGATGCTTAACATCGATGTTTTGGAACGCCTCTGCCTGGACC